CGGGTGGAGAGGGGGAAGGTGGAGAGGAAGGAGGAACGGGGAGAAAAGGTAGGGCAAGGCACAGAGGAGAGACGCACAGACAGGTACCCGGCACCCTGGGATGCTGCTACAGCCACGCTGCCTGGCACCGTGCTCCTCCGGGTCCGAGGCCCACGCAGCCGGCCCCGGCTCTCCCTGGCACACTCGCCACTCTTCCTCTTGAGCCCACGGTTCCACCCTGTGCCCAGCACACTTCCTTGCAGCTGCTGCTCACACTCCTGTCTCCCTGCTGGAGAAGAGGAGGGCCCCCGAAGGTCAAGGTGTCCCCAGGGACCCAGCCCCATGGCCCTACCTGGGCTGCTGCCTGTCCACCTGCTGGTAGTGGCAGCTCACGGCCACAGCAGAGTGGGGGCACAGCAAGTACTGGTTATCATCCCAGCAGCGGCCCATGGTCTGGAGGATGGCCTGGTCCGACACAGACTCCGACGTCACCACCTCTGAAAGCTGAGGGGTCAGAAGGGCAAGAGTCGGGGTGGGGAGAGCAAAGAGAGGGAACCAGTCCCCACTCTGTACCACCCAGCCAGATGCACACCAGGGACTCGAGTGAAATGTTCGGGCTGAGTGGCTCCGATTCGGCTCAGAGGAAAATCTCTTTCCCGTCTTAGAGCTGATCAACTCAACTTTGAGGCAGGACATGCTTGAGGCTGAGGTCAACACGTTTGGTTGGGATTTGGCTCAAGAACAAGCCAATTAGCATACAGTCTTGCTCAAGAACCTGACAGCCCAGAAGGCATTCAAGCAGCTCTGGTGCTTTGCCATGGGTGGGTCCCCCTCCCTGTGGGCACGAAAACGCCCTCCTGCCAATTCCCACCTGGCTCATGCAGCACCTCCTCCAGGAAGCCTGCTTGCTTCCTTCAGACAGAGGGATACTCCTCTGTGCTCTCTTGGTGTGGTTGGTTTATCGATCGTTCTCTGAAAACATATTGCATACTTGCAATATCCCAGACACCCTCCATTCACTCGACTGCAACAGAGACCATATGGTGCTATAAACTGCTCAAACAGCCACCTGCCCCATCAGGGTTCACAGCAGGCAATAAATGTATTGTATCTGTCTTCATATCTCCAGCACCTAGCACAGCTATTGGCTCATAATGGACACACAATATGAATGAATGAATGAATGAATGAATGAATGAGTGAATGAGTGAATGAATGGGTGAGTGAATGCTGTTCCAGCAAGTGAAGTGTCTCCTATGTGTATAGCCAGGGAGAAAAAGAAGGAGCAGAGGAATATGGTGTCTGTCTTCAGGGAACATCTCATTCACATGAGGAGATGCCCAAACAATCCATTAACCAAATAAATTGACCTTTGGTTGCATCAAGAGAAGCACAGCCCCAGAAGTCAGAAATCCTGCTCCAGTCTGCCCGGGTATGGCTCAGCCTAGAACGCTGTACCCACCACCAGCCCAACCAGCGAAAAGGATGCTTTAAGGTGGACACAGGCTGGCACAAAAAGCGTCATGTGGAGGAAAGCTACAGGAACCGGATGACTTCGCAGGCAACAGTGAAATTCTTTTACAACCCTGGGAGCAGAACCAGATTGCACGAGGAGCCGATGACCACTCAGCAGAAAGACCTCGGTGGTGGTCAGAGCTGGTGTGAGGCAGTGCGGGCCTGATCACTGGAGGCACGCACAGTCGGAACGGTGACTTGGTGGGAATGTGGGCAGGTCAAGGTCGCTTCAGAAACCCTTTTTTAAAAAGCATAAAATAAGGATCCATCCCCAGGTCACCTTAAAATGAGAACAATCCTTCCTAACTAGGTTCCTGCCACTTCTAGGAAATAAAATTTCCCCTTCTCCAAGGGTGGGGGGAGGTCGGTCGGTCGGTCAACAGGAACACTGGGCTCTGCTCATACTGTGTGGGCAAAATGGCTTCCAGTTGTCAGTATTACCAGAAATTAACCATAATACTTAAGAATTATACTAGTTGATGTATATCAAGCCCTATATTACCAGGCAGTTTGCAAAGTGCCTCATACACATTATTTGACTTATATCTCACAACGACCCCTGTAGGTGGCATTCTTGAGATCCCATTTTACAGATGAGGAAACTGAGGCTTAAAGTTTGAGAAACTGGCCTCATGTCTTCCAGCTGGCATGGGATTGAGCTCGGCTGACTCTAAACCGCACGCTCTACTGTCTCTCTTCAGCCAATATGTCATTCTGTGAAAAGTGGTTATGAAAGTGCCTGGCTCACAGCAAGTGCTCAAGACCCAGGTGACAAGACCTCCAGACCCCAAGTCCGTGGTGTGGCTGTGCCCGTTCCCTTCTCTGTGGCGTGTGGGTAGTGACTGACCTTGCTGTGCAGGTCCTGGGGCAGACTCAGTCTTTGAGTCTGTTCAAACCGCTCCATGAGGGCTCTTGTCACTTGGCCGTCAGCGCCAGAGAGCAGCCAGAAGATCCTCTCCATGTTGTAGGGCACCTGGGCAGAAGGGCGGAGTTTCAAGGCCACGTGACCTCCGCTCACTCCAGCCCCACCCAACCACCACCTGGGCTGTGTCTTCACACCTACCCTGGGCCCACCTGGATGTCCATAGCTGAGGCCAAGGTTGGCTTCACGGCCTCCGACAGAGAGAAGTCTCCCTGCCGGACAGTCCTGTGGATGATGTCATTGCGGTTCACGGCCACCACCAGGCGGATGGGCAGGCCCATCTTCTGAGCGATGCACCCGGCTTAACACAAGAGAGGAGAACTGATAAACTATTTTTTTAAGTGTGGTATATCCATACAATAGACTAAGTACCGATAAATGACACAACAAGGACAAACCCTGAAAACACTGTGCTAAGTGAAATAAGTCAGACACAAAGTCCAATATTGTGTGTTCCATTTTCAGAAAATGTCTAGAATTGAAAAATAGAGAGAGACAAGATGAGTTTGTGGTTGCCTAGGGCTGGCAGAGGGAGTGGCCTGGGGAAATAAGGAGTGACTGCTAGTGAGTATGGGTTTTCTTTTAGGGTGATGGAAAAGTCCTAAAATTGATTGTGTTGACAGTTGCCCAAGTCTCTGAATACACTAAAAACCACTGACTTATACACTATTAAATATATGAATGGCATGTGACTTATACAGCAACAAAGCTGTTACACACACACACACACACACACACACACACACACACACACACACGACCAGGACAGCACCACTGTGCCCTGGGCTATTAAAAAGTGCGTCTTACCACTGTAAAACACCTGTTGCCAGGAGAGGAAGGAGGGCTCCGGGAGGTCCAATGACCTACCCAAAGCTTGCTCGGAGGCAAAGGCAGGTTTCAAAACGCATCTAAGTCCAGAACACACACTCTTCCCCCTGACTCCGCCTCCTCAAACCAGCAACTTAGGGGGTACTCCCGGAGAGGCCAGGGAGGACGGAGAAGCCCCTCAGTCCACCCTCGCGGTTGCTCTCGTTTGCACATAACACATGAGGAAGTCCTCCCTAAGAGATGAAGAACCGGAATGCAACACAGTTTAGGGGCTATGCACATGGCACTTCAGAGAGCAGCCCATCACTGGTGAATAACTACAGGGAGCTAGGGGTAACCACACCGCCCAGCATCACTTTTCACTCTGCACAGCACTTTCCATTGCTTCACTCGACCTTCGTGAAAAAGGCACGGTGTCCTTGTACGGCAGACAGCTGGGGACTCAGGAAGATCCAGGGGCTCAAAGTCAGACAGCTGCCTCACCCCAGAGCAGGGATGGAAAGCCCTCATCAAACCCTGGCTGTGTATTTTGCACCAGGCATGGTGGTGGGATCGGGACACGGGGCCACCAGCCACTTGACTCCAGGCGGCATCCCTCACTGGAGGGCGATGGGAATGGGGGGCATGGGGGCTTCACCCAGGGTGGTAAAGAAGCCAGTCTGTCTTTGCCTGACACCAGTCCACTTTTCTTTCCACCCCCTCGTTGGTGGCAGAAATCAGGAAGCTTTCAACTGCTAAGAGATGTTTGTGGTCTTGCCTAGACCATCCTTGTGCCCGTCAGAAGCAATGCCATTGACAGAGCTCGGGGGAACAGCCATACCCATTAACCTAGTGCGCTGGTAAGGAACAGCCTGCAGCCAGCCTGCCTGGGTTGCAGCTGCCGCTCTGCTCTTGACCGGCTGTATAACCAGGGCAAGCCCTCTCGCCTTGTTGTATCATGGAAATCACAGATGCATGTGAGGGGCAAACAAATTGAGATGTGAAAAGCACTTGAAACAGTGCCAGGTGCTTAATAACTGTTTATTATTATTATTATTTTGAGTTGGAGTCTCACTCCATCGCCCAGGCTGCAGTGCCGTGGCACACTCACGGCCACCCCAGCATTGACCTGCTGGGCTTCAGTGATCCTCCCGCCTCAGCCTTCCAAGTAGCCAGGACTACAGGCGCGCGTTACCACGCTGGGCTAATTTTTGATCGATTGTAGAGACAAGGTCTCGCCAAGTTGTCCAGGCTGGTCTCGAACCCATGGGCTCAGGCCATCCACTCGCCTCCGCTTCCCAAAGTGCTGGGATGACAGGTTGAGCCACCAAGCCCGTCCAGCGTTACTTATCATTAGAGAGGAGGACCGTAATGCCCCACAGCTGTGTAGCACTTGATCCTTACAAAGTCCACACGCACACAAGACCCTCATTTGCGCCTCAAAGCATTCCCGAGAGCCATGATAAGCAATCCCTCTACCTCTGCACCACTGAGCCGTCTAAAGGGCAGCCCACAGTCATTCAGCCAGAAGAGGGCAGAACAGACCAGAATCTGAGTCCAGAACTCTCCACCTCGCAGTGTCTGGGAAGGATGCCAGGGAGTGGGGCACACATGCCAGGCAAGCAGCTGGCCCTCCAGCAGGCAGCAGGCTGGGCTGGGAGGAAAGTCCATCTTTTTGAGCAAGAGCACTGCCAGCTGGGCACGGTGGCTGACTCTTGACCCTGTCTCTCCATGCTCTGCTGAGTGAGAAAGCACACCAGGTCAGGCTGCCAGGGCACACAGGGTGAGCCCATGGCTCTCCCTCAACAGCAAGAACCCAGCGTGTGCCCTCAGGAAGTTGGAAGGAGCCTTCTGGAAGCTTCTGTGTGGTTTCTCATCACCTTAAGAAGGAGGCTGGGCTTGGTGGCTCGGCCTGTCATCCCAGCACTTTGGGAGGATGAGGTGAGTGGATTGCCTGAGCCCGCGAGTTCGAGACCCACCAGGGCGAGACCTCATCTCTACGATCAATCAAAACTTAGCTGGGCATGGTAGCGCACGCCTGTAGTTCCGGCTACTTGGAAGGCTGAGGCCGAAGGATGGCTGGAGCCCAGTGGGTCAAGGCTGTGGTGGCCAGGAGTGTGCCACTCTACTCCAATCTGGGCAACAGAGTGAGACTCCAACTCAAAAAAAATACAAAAAATAAAAATATGTAGCCAGGCATGGTGAAGTGCGCCTATAGTTCCAGCTCCTTGGAAGGCTGAGGCGGAAGGATCGCTGAAGCCCAGCAGGTCGAGGCTGCAGTGACTGGGAGTATGCCACTGCACTCCAGTCTGGGTGACAGAGTGAGACTCCAAATAAACAAAACAAAAAAAAACAACAAAAACCAAAGGGCAGCTGGAAGGACAAAGGCCACGGACAATTTTCCGAAGAGCCTCCGGGGCCCCAGGGTCTCCTTACCTGCAAGGTTGCCAGCTGCCCCTGTCGGCACGACCACCTCCACGGGAGGCAGGGGGTGTGCATCCAAGGAGGACACACACTGGAAGTAGGCGAAGAAGTAGTGAGCCATTTGCACCAGCACCCGGGACCAGTTGATGGAGTTGAGGCTCATCAGGTTATGCTTCTTGACAAAAGCCGTATCAGCAAACACAGCCTTGATGGGCTCATCCAGCTCATCGCTGTTTCCTTCCACTGCGGGGAGAGAGAAGAGGGAGGCTGTGGGGGGCGGGAAGACCCCAGGTGGTCAGTGCGTTCCTGTGACAGTCCGCCCAGGCTGAGCCCACCCTCCCAGGACCCAGCTTCTCTCCTTTCACACGGCTTGGCCTGGCTTTCCAGAGTCAATATCAAGCTCCTCAAGGACAGAAAACACGTCTTGGATTCTTCTTTTTTATTTTTTGTAGCGACAGGGTCTCGCCATGTGGCCCAGGTTGGTCTCAAACTCCTGGCCTCAAGCAGTCCTCTCACTTCTGCCTTCCAAAGTGCTGAGATTACAGGTGAGCTACCACATTCAGCCACGATTACTGTGTTCCTGAATAACTGCCCTAGCTTGGAAAGAACAGAAAGTATAGCCAGAGCCAGCCCCAATAGCTCCACCGTTATGTAAGAGGCACTGAATATCAACCTTCCTGAATACTGGGAAGGAACTCCTCTCTGTAATCTGTGCCCACTCCCATCCACCCCCAGTCTTCTGCAGAGTCTGACAGCAAGAGGGTTCAGGGTCGGGTGGAAACAGTCACCGTTCCCCTGTGGTCTGCCCTCTGCCCTCATTTAGATTGCAGGGTGCGTATTCCACTCTCTGCTCCTGCATGCCGGGTAAGCATGCATGGGCAGGACTTCTCCTTCCTGAAGCTGGGTGTGCCCATCAGTTAACTGGTGGATGAATTACTGGACAAATGGATGGGTGAGGCGTCCAGGAGTCAAAGTGACATCCCCAGCCTAGCTCAACCAGCAACTGAGTCAAGCGGGTCTCCTATCTAAGACCTGAGTACATTTTTCCACACTTGGAGGGGACAGGACAATGTTTACCAGGGACGTGCCAGAACAATGTTTACCAGGGACATGCCAGAGTGGGCACTGAGACTGTTTCCTTTCTGCCCCTCGCCACTGTGGGCGCCAAGTGGCCTGGGCCGGTTGTGGTGACCTTGCTCCTTGTTACACCCAAGCCAGTGAGAGCCTGGCATTCCCGTGGGATCAGGGTTGGCCTCCGGGTGCGCATGTGACTAGATTCGGGTCAATGAGACACAAGGAGACATAAGATGCTGGGTTCTAGAAAAAGGCCCACCGCTTTAAAGCTAGAGCCACAGGAAGAGACCTGGCTACCTAGAGGCACCATCATGTGACTGTAAGAGGCACAAGCCTCAGGGCTGAGAGGGCAGAGCCGAGAAGGGGAAAGCCTGGGATCCTGAAAGCTTCACAAGTCACTGATCAGCCACCTCTCGACTTCCAGTTACAGAAGCTGGATAATACTTTTAGGCTAGCCTGAGCTGAATTCCGGGCAAAGGCAGCCCAAATTAAGCCATCACCAAAGACCTAGCACTGCTGAGCACTCTGTGCTTAAGAAGAACCAAGCATGCAACGTGTATGGAAAGTGATGACTTCATATGCCCAATCTGTGTCCACACACAGTAATCCAGGTGGTCTATCCCTACTCTCTGAGCTCAGCAGTCCAAAGGAAAACACAAACTTGCTGTTAGCTCCTGAACTGACACACATCCTCGAGATCAAACCACAAGCCTCCAGAAAGGAAAGGGAATTTGAACAGTGCTGTTTATAAACCAAACTGATTTCGTTGAAGTCAGCTGCCTTGTTTTCTTGAAGCCCAGAACACGTACAGAACAAAAACACCTGTCAGCCCCAGCCACAACACATGTGTGACACGCCATGCTCATCACCATCCACATTTCTATCCCCATTTTACAAGCAGGCACCTTCCTCCACCCCCAGGTCAGGAATGAATCTTCCCTTTAAACCTCCAGGTCTGTGTCCGAGACAGGAAGGGAGGAGGAGCAGGCCAGAGGTACGAACGACACTCTCTGCTCTGATTCTAGGAAACACCAGCCCGAGACCCAGGTCAGCAATTTTGGTGCTTGGGGTGTTGGACCAAGAGAAGCCTGAATCTTGCACAGGAGAGTCTTGCAGCGACTGCAGAAACTTGCAGTCAGCTGTGTCAACAGGTGCACACGCCTAGCCACGGCTTTTCGCTGGCGTGTGTCTGCACTTGCTAAAGAACAGAGCAGAAGGGTGTTTGTTGCTCTTGAGCAAACAAAGGATACTATGCGAGTCCCATGGCTAAGGTGGGTTTTTGCTTGTCAAAGTTGATGTTATATAAAAGCACCCTCCACACACGGGCCAGGCCAGGTGAAGAAGGAACACCTACTGCCATCACGTTGACTGTCCTGCTAAGTGAGTGACCAAACTCAGCCAGGCTACCTGGACAGCCTTTCCAAAGTCACCGCCAGCCCGGGCCAAAACCTCAACCAGGCCCCCACCTTGCAGCTGCCTGGGCTCTACTGGGGCGTGAGAAGTGGAAATAAAAATGCACAGTTCCACCCAAACTCACCTCCACCTTTCTCCATTCTTTTTTTTGAGTTGGAGTCTCACTCTGTTGCCCAGGCTGGAGTGCAGTGGCACGCTCATGGCCACTGAGGCCGCGACCTGCTGGACTCAGGTGATCCCTATGTCTTAGCCTTTCAAGTAGCTGGAACTACAGGTATGTGCCACCATTCCCAGCTAATTTTTTATTTATTGTAGAGATGAGGTCTTGCCAAGTTGCCCAGGCTAGTCTCAAACCCATGAGCTCAGGCAATCCTCTCACCTCAGCCTCCCAAAGTGGTGGGATTACAGGTGTGAGCCACCATGCCAGCTTTCTCCATTCTTAATCCTCATAATAATTAAATCCATTCTGCATAGATGGCCTGACATTAAAGGACATAGTTTTTGTCTTTTTCCAGGCAAAATGCTACGACTTTCATGAGGTGACTCAGAAAGGGGCATCACCAGTAATGGGTCCCACTGAGTGGCTTCCTATTTTTAAAATACTTACACCTGCTAACCAAGTCCCTGGTTTGGCTATTTCTCACTGTAAGGGAGGGCATGAACTGTGTCAAGATGTCACCATACATTCTCTCTTTATTTTTTTTTTTTGAGTTGGAGTCTCACTCTGTCGCCCAGACTGGAGTGCAGTGGCCGCTCCCGGCCACTGCAGCCTCGACCTGCTGGGCTCCGGCAATCCTTCTGCCTCAGTCTTCCAAGTAGCTGCAACTACAGGCGCGCACTACCACACCCGGCTAATTTTTTATTTATTGTAGAGATGAGGTCTCGCCAAGTTGCCCAGGTGGGTCTCGAACCTACAGACTCAGGTAATCCACTCACCTCAGCCTCCCAAGGCGGGAATTACAGGCTGAGCCACTGAGCCCGGCTTCCACGCAGTCTCTTAAAGCAATTATTTAATGTGCGGGTGCCCTCTGAACTTCAGTGTCCTGGAACAAAACCCAAGTCGTGCGGCTCAGCCATGGCTCTGCTCAGCAGCCTACATAACTTTGCCAGCGGGCTGGTCTTGAACGGAGGGGGCATTCTCCGGGCGCAGTTTTCAACCTGGCTTTTCCTACACTGTAGTGTCAGGACTGGTTCTGGCAACGGGCGCAGTCAACAGTTTGCAGGACTGTGTAGCCAGAGTCTGCCCAGAGCTGAGTCCAGGCCTAGGAGGCAACCCCAAAACAAGACTGACAGCAGAAGTACGGTTCGTGCGTCAGTTGAGCAGTTTTGCCCCAGCCCATCTCCCCTGACGGACGCAGCCGAGGTTGGGCGCACTGTCCTGCTGCCCCACACCCACCTCCAAACACACGGATGTTTTCGCTCAGCACCGTTGTCATCTGGAGCTCCTGGATCCTCGAGCAGTGGCCTTGGGGCAGCAGCACAATAATGTCCACGTTCTTTGCCCCTCGGACGCTCTCAATGGCGGCACTCCCTGTGTCTCCGGACGTTCCTGGGCGGGGAGAGAGGAGAAAGTTCCCTTCAGAGCAAGCTGGATGGAAAGGGAAAGACGCGGTCCTCAACGCATCGTTGCCAAGTGCGGCAACATCTGTTTCAAATACTTGGAGAACAGGAACCTGGGATCCACGGATCCATGGATCAAAGTCAGGTGATGTTCGTACTACATACATTGGAAATAGCAGGATTTAATAAAACATTTCATGTTTTAAAGTATTATCCCGAGAAAGAGCCATAGCCTCCACCAGAGTGACCAAGGGGGCTGCTGCGCAAGAAAAGGCTGGAACTCTGTTCCAGCAGGACTGACCACTCAATCCCCCAGCAGGTCCAGGGAGGGACCCTGCAGGTAGATGCAGGGCACGCAGGGGTCCACGCTCACGCTCATGGTACACACCTACGACCACAGTGACGTGCCTCGACTTCTTCTCCAGGAAGTACTGCAGGAACTGAGCTGTGCAACACAGGGACAGGTCCTTAAACGCATATGTGGCTCCGTGCCATAGCTCCAACACGTTCAGCCCGTCCCTCAGCCTGGACAGATGGACCACTTCTCTGTGGCGGAATCTGCTGAAGGCGCGGTCGATCAGGTCTGTGAGGGTTGGGAGCAGAGAGCAGATGAAGGGCCTGGTCTCATCCCTCCAGTTCTCTCAGTCTCTGGAACACTTGGGATTGAAAGCTCCCAACACTGGCTACTGGGTAAAACCAACCAACAAACCAACCAGAAACTCTAATTTTAAATGGTATCGTTTATGAACACAACTGCACCATCTAGATAAGAGTTGGGGAAGGCACGCAGCAAGCTGACGGCCCACTAATTGCATGCAGTGACTCCCCAGAGACCAATACTGGCGGTCCTGGGCGACTTCCGTTTTTCACATCACACCCTTCTTTGTTGTTGAAATGTATTGTAAGCGCGTATTTCAACAGAGGGTCGAGTAAATGGTCCTATAATAAATCAACTTCTCATCTGATTCAACTTTCCTTCCTGAAGATAGGAAGCGTTCTGCTTGTCTGTCTGTCTGTGACATTCCTGAATCTCACACCGTGAGCCCAGGCCTGAGGATGGTTGACAGACAACCCCACCTCCAGAAGGGCAGTCTGCAGCAGAGCTTCTCACCCAAGCACCTCGAGCCTGGTAAAATGCACAGTCTGGTTCCATAGCTCCGAGGAAGCCTGAGATTTCTAACAGATGCCCAAGAAATGCCATCTTTGCTGGTCACTGGACCACATTTTCTGTGGCCCTCCTCCCTGTCCAGCCCCAAACACCCACCGCTACACTATGGGTCTTATTCTTGCCACACCAGGTGTGGTCCAACGGTACTAGTGTAATCTGGACACGTGGTCGAAATGCAGGACTCCCAGACCCAACCCAGACCTCCTGAATCAGAATCAGCTTCTTAACAAGATTCCCGGGGGGGTCCAAAGGTAAACCACAGTTTGAGACGGGCTGTGCCAGGATACTCCTAAAGTCCCCTCTGGAATTACCATTCGAGGAACTCAAACAGCAATCGGGAGGTCTGGGGGGCTTTGTGTGCAGGAAGGAAACATCCCCACGTTCAAGCCACTCACGATGATGACAAAATCTCTAGTCTTGGAGAGTTTTTTTTGTTTTAATTAACTAAAGAAAAAATTCTCTGCCACTCATCCCAGCAATGATCTGGCTGGAGGCAGGAGGTGTGATACTTTCCAATTCTGGGGTTCCAGAGTCAGGAAAAAACCCCAAAGTTTGAGAAATGCAGCTGGGGACTTCCTAGTGGTCGGGGGACAGGTTTGCAACTGTGTGTGGGGCTGAGCCAGCGGGGCTGGGTGCTCACCATCCAAGCGGCCTCTGGGAATGAGCTCATAGCCGATGAAGAGGGCACACAGCTCCTTCACCAGGCTGGGGTAGGAGAACGTGCTCCACTGGCATAGGGTGTCTCTGTCCAGCTGCGGGAGCGCCTCAGGCATGAAGAGGCCCCCATCAGGCGCATAGCCGGAGAAGAGGGCCCCCTCAAAGTTGACCCGCGGCGCCGCACCCCGAGTGCTGACGTACCACATGATCCCGGAGGGAGGTCTGCAGAGGGGACAGTCCCAAAGGCACTTGGTATCCCAAGCCCCACGCCCCACGGGTGGAGCCAAAGCATCCCCAAGTTCCTCTGCGAGCCTCTGGGTCACTGCTCCTGGGAGCACATGACCCAGACCCGGACGGAAGCCCTGGCTCAAGGCTCATGCCAGCTTCGCCTGGGACCACGCAAACCACAACCCTCCGATCAAAACGAGGCGGCTGGCCTTGGGGGAGAGGTACTGGAGCATGCTGGGAAGAGAGAACTCGTGGTCTTCACTGGCAACATGGGAGGCCTTGGGGTGGGGGAAAACACCAATAGAAGGCAACCGCCAGTCTGACATCACTCTTGATAAGGAGGCTGAACTCCTGGGCACACACCCTTTGAGCGATGTCGGGGCTGCTTCTGCTCAGAAAATGACCACCGTAATGGTTATCTAGGGACACTGCCTAGAACCTAGTGGCTCTCAATGCCGGGATTTTGCTAAAATCAATTTGGGACCCTACCTGGGTCCATTAGACTTCCCAAGGAGAGGCCTCTCCAGTGAGTCTGACGTGCAGCCAGGCTTGAGAACAGGGTGACCAACTCATCCCAACTGTCCAAAACTTTGCAAGCTCCATGATCCAGGAAACCCCTCAATTCCAGGCAATCGGATGGCTGGTCAGCCTAGTCAATAACCAGCGCCTTACCTGTCAACCTACTCCTAGAAGGGCAGTTAAGGGTGACACGCAGCCCTTAAAACTCTCTAGCCATGGCTAAGGGGCACTGCATGGCCTTAGAGGACTCTGGTTCTTTGGGTGGGGGGTGTCCCAGGGAATCCCAAGCCTAGCTTGGGTCGTATTTCCACATCCGTTAGGTTTTCTGGAGCCAGGTGCCACATTGAGGGGTTGGGCTCCAACGCGGGACACCTTCCCTGGGTCGTGGTAGTGAATTGAGGGGCTCTTGTTTCAAAACCCCACAGTAAGTCTGGGGATGGATTTGGCTAGATAGCTCTCACTACCAGTTGGGACTTTTCTGTAGCAGGGCAGGAGGGGGATTCCTGCCCTCTGCGGGCAAAGCCACCTGAAGCTCTCTATGTAGGAAACTGACCTGACAGAATCTTAATCTCCGAGACTGTGGCTCTGCCACACGTGGTGGCCAATGCAAGTCCTGTGCAGGCTGCCGTGTGCCACTCCCTACCTACTGGCACAAGTGCATCCCATTAAGAGACAGAAACAGGCGGAATCGTCCAAACCACGGGTCTCTGGGAAGTGAAAAGGGATACTAGCATGCTGGGACGATGAGTATAAGCCAGAACTGTCACTGGTAACGTGGGCCAGGTGCGCACCTCATACACCAGTCCATATCAAAGACATGAACTCAGAGTGACTCCAAACATCAATTGCAGCCGGCAAGCACAGCAGGGCTTGGTGGCTCAGCCTATCATCCCAGCACTTTGGGAGGCCGAGGCGAGTGGATTGCCTGAGCCTGTGGGTTTGAGGCCAGTCCGGGCAACTTGGCAAGACCTCATCTCTACAATAAATAAAAAAAAAACTAGCCGGGCG